TCTTGTTTCACCCATAATTTCTGGAAATCAGGAATTCATTTGAAATTTTGTTTTCATTATGATCTTGCAAAGGAGTTCTCAATTTAGTGAGTGAGTGAATAAGGATTAATATTTTTATTCAACAAATTATAATTGATAACCTAAATTTTTTAGGATTTTTTTTCTGTGTCTGTAGTGAGCTAGAAAATTTGGAATGCATGATAAAAATATACTTTTACCACAATGCTAGTTTTCAAATGAGTAGTAGAGGTAATAAGAGCATCAGATTTTTACTGTAGGGGCATCTTTGTGAACTGAGGATGCTGGAAAGGATTGCATAGTTTTGGGCAATGGTATGCAAATTTTATTAAAGGAGTGCCCCTTGAGTCAAACCTTAAAGGGTGCACATAAGTTGGAAAGACAAATGAGAATGGAGACACTACTTCAGGTAGGGGAAACCGCAGAGGTGAGAGCTGTTTCACCTGCTGAGCTGGAGCACTAGCTTTAGATACACCCCCACACTCTAGGGAATTAAACCTGGGACCAATCCATGCAGGGGCTTAACCACTAAGTGGCCTGAACTAAGGTGAGCAGAGGAGTTAGAGGATGAGGGTAATCAAGTCAACGTTGCATCTGTGAGACACCCTTCCTTATCCTGCTGCTCTGTACTTAAAGCTGACGGTCCCCTGAATTTGAAGAACAAATGAGGGAAAGCAAAAGCTCCGAGGGAAGCAGCAGTGTCTGGACTCTCTGCTGCTGGGATCTAGGGAGGGTCATGCTGTATGTGATGCTGGAATGTCAGCCTTTCTACTCTCTTCCTATCTGTTGGAATTTGTCCCGTTGTTTAAAAAAAATTCAAGGCTCCTCCATTCAACCTCCTTGACACTCAAAGCAGCCTTTTTAGGTGGAAGGAGCAGTGTGTGGGTGCAGAGGAAGAGAAGAGAAGTTTCCATGGAAATGCCTCTGGCTGGGATCAGGGAGTCATCACATGATCTCCACAAGGAGGGTTAATCTTTTTTCTTCTTTCTTTCAGAGCCACAGAGAGATTAACAGGGCTTCTTGTCCCTGAGGAGTCTTGGTTCTGTATTACTGACAACCACATGTGGTCTTCTGTAATTCTGTTCTGTCTACTTGCAGAGGAAATTTAACTTCTCATGTTCAATTTAATTAAGAATTTTGTTTAATGTTTTCCCCCCATCATATTTCCCAGTTAATAACCTAGAAAGTCTCCATGATACCACTGGGCTACTGTGTCTGCTCTCCCAGGTCTGTTTTTCATAATCTTCAGAGCATGCTTAGAGGAATGCCTAAAATGTACTTTGTCCTCTTAATTTCCTTCACAACGTTAAATTTCTTAAATTGACAGACCTCTTTATTACTCTCAAATATAAGACACGACTTGCTCTGGCCCATTTGTATTAAAGTCTTTTTGTTAATACAAACTTCCTAAATGTCAAACCCCATTTAGATCGGTTCATCCTTAAACTCTAGATATCCATTCTCTACGTGTCTCTAGTTTACAGAATTTGCAAATATTCTGTCCTACCTTGGGAGATCACTGTATGTGTTACCACCTGAGCTAATGTAATACATGATCAACCAGATCAGGGCCTCTGTAAGTATCCTGCAAGTATTTACTGAGCATCAGTTATCAGGCGTATGCCAAGAGATGGGGATGCTCTGGTAAGGACAACAGAGAGGTTTCTACCCTCATGAATCATATTGCCTATTAAAATAATATTTTAATTTTAGTAACTGTAATAATGTTTATAACTACATATTTAAAATAACTTGTTTGCTTAATTAAATTTACCATATATTGTTGATTTGTTAGCATTGAACTCACGGCCAACAGCTTATGACTCATGTCAATGCTTGCCCAACATGTGTTTTCTTTAAGGCACCTTCCTTGCGCTTAGAAACACTAGACGGCACATAAGCACCATGCTTGGAGGCAATTTTGGACCACAGAATCGCCAACCAAAAGCACCAAAATGGCACTAAATAGACCATGGGAAGGACATTTGTTTACACTATGAGAGCTGAAGTGAGAAGGCAGAGTATCACTTTGTAGACATGTTCCCTGAGGGACTCAAAATTCTTTGCAGCCTGTGTATGTCTATGAATGAGTGTGAAAATGTTGAAAGTATTGATGTAAGGGTTTCCAGTTTTAGCAAGTAGGCAAATCTACTTAAGCTGATACAGAAGAAAATTAAAAACCTATTAGGAAAGATGACAGACGGACCTATTTAGGCTTACGAAGTGTAGTCAAGGAATGCTCCCTGGCAGAAGTTATCTTTCAAGTGACAGCTGAAAGATTAGTAGAAGTCTGCTTGGTGAAGAGAACAGTGGGAGTGTGAGTCCACTGGGTGGAGGGAATGCAACATGCAGAGGTTCCATGGTAGAAGCAGCATGGCATGTGCAACGATCCTGAGGTGTCAAGGTGGCTGTCACTCCCAAAGCTGTGGAGATGTAGTACATAGAAGTGTGTGTGTGGATGGGATTGCAGTCTTTGAAGCATTTGAAGCAGAGTTTTGAAGTAATCGTATACACATTTTAAAACATTTCACTCAAGCTGCTGAGATGAGAACAAATGTGGAGGTGGGAGCAAGAGTAAATGTAGAAATAATACTTAGGATATTATTGGAGTAACTCAGGCAATAAATTATGTGGCTTGGACCAGAGTGATGATCCGCGAGATAAACAGAAGTGAATGGATTTAAGAGCTGTATGACTGATGCATTCAAAAGGAGGGAGAGGTGAAGAGAAAGACAATTGGGGTTGATATCTAGGTTTCTGGTTTGCGCCAATCACTAAAATAAGAAACA